TGTGTGTGTGTGTGTGTGTGTGTGTGTGTGTAGTGTGTGGTGTCGGTCGTACGTACGTCGTAGTGTGTGTGTGTGTGTCGTGTCGTCGTGTCGGTGCGGTCGGTGTCGTGTGTGTGCGTGTGTGTGTGTGTGTGTCGTCGTGTGTGTGTGTGTGTGTGTGTGTGTGTGTGTGTGTGTGTGTGTGTGTGTGTGTGTGTGTGTGCGCGTGTGTGTGTGTGTGTTTGTGTGCTTAAATAGACTGCTCGTGGTGGCATTTCATTTTGGCGCGCACGCAAAATGCGTATTTTCGGCCGTTCGTCCCGATAATGCCCGGTAATGGATGAAATCTCTACGTTTTATTTATTCTCCTCTCTCGCGCGCGTGTCACTCTCGGAGACATACTCGCAATTTTCATACGCTGACGGAATTCTGCGAGAGAAGTCTCTTCGTGCGGTAAAATAGCGAAGAAGAAAAAACCACAAAAATACAGCGAACGATGTCGTCTGCAGGCAGCAGGCGATATCGCTAGCTACGTCGCCGCCCTTCCACGCTATACACGCAGATGCAGCGCTAGCTGAAGACCGACCGATCGTTGTTGTACGCGCTTTTCCCTGGCGATCCGCTCGACTGTTCCTGGCCGCGCATGCGCTGATAGTTAGGTTGTGATTGCCGCGGCGAGTAAAGCCGGCCAGCTTTCCGTTTCAGGGTTTCGCTGTCTGTATAAACGATACATTAGAGCGAAGACGAATCGTCGATTTACCGTCGTTAGGCGAATTGATCGTACGAATCAACGCGGCGATGAACGGGAATGCACCAACAAGCCATTGGCGCCGATATAGCACGCTGCGGCGATCACACGCGAGACCACAATAAACCAAGTTTATTTTCACACGAGTAACGCGAACTATCGTGGCCCCTACAGCCCTGAATAATGCATGTTTAGTAGACACTAAATGCTTACATACTATCAGGGGTAGCTAATGGCAAATCATTATTTGGCACTATCTACCTCTGATACTGTATCGCTATCCACTCTACGGAGTAGTAAAAACCATTACAGTAATGTAACGGTGGAACGTGAATATCATGTAATATAGATATTGATAGCGTGACATTCATAATGAAGCTGCTGGTGTAGTCGTGAGTTAAACGTTTGTAGTGACATGGAGAGCGTATAATAACAACGAATGGTTAGCCCATATTATGAACTATCAAGAGCGTATTAAGAAGCTTCTTAATACGCTCTTGGAACTATCAATCAAATAGCTGCAACCAAATGTAAGATCTGTTCAGTTCGCTGTGCGTGTGTTGAGAGTTCGTGCGATCGGTCGTTCGTTCCTGTGTGCGTGCGTCCGTGCACACGTCACGTCCGTGCGTGAATCTGTGCCTAAATTTGTGCGTACGTGTGCGTGTGAACGTGTAGGTGTGTATGCGTGTATATTTGCGTATGTGATGTGTACATGCCTGCGTGCGTACATGCCTGCGTGTGTGCCTGTGTGCGTAGATGTGTGCGTGCGTCTGTGTGCGTGCGGGAGTGCACGCTTGCGTGCTGCGTGCGTGTTTGCGTGCGTGTTTGCCTGCGTGCCTGCGCGAGCGAGTGGTGTGCGTGTGTGGGTGTGTGTATGACGCGCACACATTCACTCGGTGTGCCAGGCTCACTGATCTCTACTATACTAACGTTAGGCCTATATATAACGTTATATATATTATATATATTATATATAATTATATGCTATTTATTATAATTATTATTATTATTATAATAATTATTATAATATAATAATATATTTATTATAATAATATTTATAATTATTATTATTTATTATATATATTATATATAACGTTATATATACTAACGTTAGTATAGTAGAGATCAGTGGCCAGGCTGCATACATATATACCAGGAGTATATAATAGCGCGGGAACTCCCTATTATCTACTCCTGATATATACGCACACGGACATGCATAATATTATACAGACAGAAGCACGCGGACACGCACCCGCACAAGCACGGCGAGGTGCATGCACATGCGCGCACTTGCACGAAGACGCGAACGAGACGCGTTGTTATTGCGTTTACAACCTAATAATAATTTGACAAACTATATATGTGATATCTCGCGACGTGGGTCAATACTTCAAATATTTATAAGAATTTCTGCGTCGTGTCGGGCATCCAGGGAATTCCATCACGAAATATTATAGTGCCGGCGGGCAATAACCATCTTTATAGCTATTCGTCTTATTGCAGTATATGTCTGCTCCAATGATGACTCATCTACGGATATTTTACTTCCGGTGCTTGTTCACGACCGCTATACATGACAGTTCGCCTTTATATTACATCCTCTCTGTTTTAATTGTGAATAGAATATATTCCTTTGACTTCATCGGCAATGCGTCCTGTTTTAGCAAGGTCGCATCGAGAAATTACCGCGTGCCCATAGCTAGGTTTTCGTTTAACCGGGCATGTATCTTACTATAATTTGGCGAATGTTGTATACAAATGAAAGGCTCCGTCAGTTTGGATCCAAATAGCGCCAAATTTACAGAAGAGATCGATGAGTACACGGGACGGGTTCTAAACTATACTCAGTTGAAAACCGTTTGCTCGGTCTTAAAAAAGACAAAAAAACACAAAAAAGGTAAACATTTGCCTGAAAATAGGGGCGCTGTTTGTTTTCGTTCTGTTTGTATTTCGTTTTGTTTCAACAGGTTTCAATTTCGTGTTGTTCTGCTGTATCTCTGTTCTGTGTCTGTGTGTCTGAGATTTGTGTAAGCCCCATAATGTAAGTAGAAATAACCATGTATATAATGAAGTTAAATATTCAGTAGCTATTTGGCCATAGTTTCCCATATGAGATGTGACAAGTTGAATTTCATCAGTGCAGATTTTTTTTGAAGTCTGCAATCGCTGTACAGTGTACGGGTGCCGTGGACACCGATCTGTCACAAGCGGTCCGATCACAAGCACGTAATATTACGTCGTCCGCACAGAGTGCAAACATGCGTAGAAATAAGCGATCACAACCACGCAATATTACCTGGTCGCACACAGTGGAAACATGCGAAGCACGTAATATTACGTTTACGTTATCCCATATTCACATCTATCTATATTCTACTTTGGAGTCCGTGTCATCAACCAGTCACATAGCATACAATAAAACGTTTCTGTTGCGGTGTGTGTATTTCACTGTGTACTTGCCAAACAAATGGTTAATGTGTTACGTGTAAGCATAATTGCACATGTATTTGTATATTGACTTCTCAACCATAAAAAAAACAAACATGTGCAACAACTAAACTCTCCATATAACACCTTACACATAACACTACTGCACTGCATGGTAACACATTCATCACAGTCACTAAGCCCGCGCGTAGCGCGGGTTTCAGCTAGTCTTACTATAATTTGGCGAATGTTGTATGTATGTATGTTAATGAAAGGCTCCGTCAGTTTGGATACAAATAGCGCCAAATTTACAGAAGAGATCGATGAGTACACGGGACGGGTTCTAAACTATACTCGGTTGAAAACCGTTTGTTTGGTCTTAAAAAAGACAAAAAAACAACAAGAAAGGTAAACATTTGCCTGAAAATAGGGGCGCTGTTTTGTTTTCGTTCTGTTTCAACAGGTTTCGATTTCGTGTTGTTCTGTCTATCTGTGTTCTAACTTCTGTGTCGATCTGTGTGTCTGAGATTTGTGTAAGCCCCATAATGTAAGTAGAAATAACCATGTAATAATGAAGTTAAATATTCAGTAGCTATTTCGCCATAGTTTCCCATATGAGATGTACAAGTTGAATTTCATCAGAGCAGAATTTTTTTTTGGAAGTCTGCAATGCTGTACGGGTGTCGTAAACACCGATCTGTACAAGCAGTCCGATCACAAGCCTGTAATATTACGTCGTCCGCACAGAGTGCAAACATGCGTAGAAATAAGCGATAACAACCACGCAATATTACCTGGTCCTCACACAGTGGAAACATGCGAAGCACGTAATATTACGTTTACGTTGTACCCATTCACATCTATCTATATTCTAACTTTGGAGTCCGTATTATCAACCAGTACATAGCATACAATAAAACATTTCTGTGTGGGTGTGTGTATTTCACTGTGTACTTGCCAAACAAATGTTAATGTGTTACGTGTAAGCATGATTGCACATGTATTTGTATTGACATCTCAACCATAAAAAACAAACATGTGCAACAACTAAACTCTCCATATAACACCTTACACATAACACTACTGTACTGGTAACACATGCATCACAGTCACTAAGCCCGCGCTTAGCGCGGGTTGCAGCTAAGACACACACAAAAAAAGACACAAAAAAGAAAGAAAGAAGATTTGCCTGAAAATAGGGGGCGCTATATCTTTGCATTGCTCATACTTCGCCGCCTGTCAACGTTGTGCTGCATGCACAGAGATTTTTGGTAAGCCCAATAATCTAAGTAGAAATAAGCATGTAATAATGAAGTTAAATGTTCAGTAGCTATTTTGCGGTAGTTTTCGATATGAGATGTACAAGTTGAATTTCATCAAAGCTGACTTGAAGAAATGACACTTACACTGCCAACGTTCGTTTCGATGAGATCCTTTAATTGCGTAGTACGACCAGCAGCGGTAGGGGAATAACTTTCACACGGGTGTAGATTGTTGATTGTAAATTGGCGTAGGCTCAGAGTCTGATTGGTTCTTATTATTTTTATTATTTTTGGCTAATTTCGTTTCATTTCGTTTTATTACGGTTAGGGTTATGGTTAGGCAAATAAGGATATAATAATATAGGGAAATGTGACGTCCTAACACGTTATCACGTTCCCTCAATCTACGCCCGGGGGAAAGTGACACCCCAGCGGTAGCAGCAGCCACCGCCAGTTGCAATACTATTCCAGGTCCGTTCCTATTCCACTGTGCGTAGTGTTACCCATAAAATGATCAAGCTTACAACTCAAGGCTGCAAATTCAGTAAAAGTGGTAGTCTACTGCAAAAAGCGGTACAGTTGGCATCTATGCATACACAGTGTATGCAGCGACCATACCATTCAATAATTGCATCGCTACCTTACCAAATCGGCAACAACATAACCTTAATCTCTTTAACTTCTTTTAGTTTTAACGTAACCATGCGCAAGTCACAAAAATTGGGTCAGTTTTTGCTTTTTTTTGGTATTTTAACACCTAATAATTCCTTCTTTTGTCATCTGTCACTTTGGTTATAGATGGATTGCCACAACACAAATGCTACTACAGCAACAGAAGAAATCCAAAAATCAATGCTGCAAGTCGTTGGAATCTGTACAAGACTCAATTATAAGCAGTACGACGTGCAATATGCAGTATGCCAAATAATGGAAGTCGTCTCACAGGTAGAAAAATCCCTCAAAACAATAAACGAGCAACATCATGACAAGACGAGAATCATACTGGAAAAAAACAAAGAACTTGCCAAACAAAATCACGCCCTCAAGAACGAGATGAACCAGCTCAAGGAAGAAATAGTCAAAACAAAAGAAGAACTGGATAATTCACAAGCCAGCTTCAATGCGATCTTCAACGAAGAAAACCTCGACGATGACAACGATCAGCCCTCAAAGACCGACAACAATGGCAACACACACACACACAGCAACAGCTTGAATCTATCAAGGAAAGCCAGGAACTATTTTGAGTTTCCATACAAACCTCCTGTTCTTCCCCCACATTCGTTTTCTCAACCATATTATGCCTATTCATCTGTTAATGTTATATCTGTGTTAGATTTGTAGATGTTCTTAAGATATCACAGTTGTATATTTAACAGTTATTCCCCGAAGGCGAGGTGAATAACTGTTTTAGTATCATTGCCCGACTTTTGCCACTTTTGGGTACAGCAAACAAGTGTCGGCAACCATTTTGTGGTAACTCAAATTGTTGCATTTCCACAAATTTTGCCCCCAACAAACAACATATACCGTTAGCAAAACGCTAAACAAACCTTATTCAACAGACTTTACCCCCGAATTTACACTGAATCTCAAAACTCCTAATTTCACGTTCAAGTCAACGATAAACAATTCTATTCTTTAGTTCATGTACGACTGGGGTAATATGTCTCTGTTTAATTTCTAATTAGGTAGTGCCTGCCATCTGTTAGAAATCAAAGTAACAAAAACCAATAATAAACTTGAATTTCACTACCTACCTTTAAATAGTTTAACTCCAAATTTTGTCACACCCTTGGTACTTTTGGGGACAGCATTTTCTTTAAATTTGTCAATTTCGGCTTCCGTAACATTTACAAATTTAGCCGCCATTTTTGGTGCCACTACAATGTAAACCCTAGAGGTGATTATCGAAATATATTCACCTAGGTCTCGACCAATCAGCGCGCAGCATTTCCTATAATCACTCGGGCGATGATACTAAATTGTCTTATTAAAATGTTTAAACCTTTGCAAAAAACTTCGTCTGTTCATTAACACACACCCATATTTATTTCCATGCAAGTTTTTTGTCTTTTAACATTTTTAATGTGTATTTACACAAATCTTTGCCTTCAACAAATACGTTTTTAAATTTTATCTCCTGTTGTTTACAGTACATGCCTTTGTACAATACAACAAAAAAGAAACAAAAGTATTTAATAAACAGTATTCAGTTACAACTGATTTCTCTTCTGTGCCATCATCTTACTATAATCTTATCGAATTTGCCGAATGTTGTACGTATGTATGTATGTTCATGAAAGGCTCCGTCAGTTTCCATTCAAATAGCACCAAATTCACAGAACAAATCGATTAATACACGAGACGGGTTCTAAACTTTACTCGGTTGAAAACGCTAAAAAAGACTTAACAAAACAATACCACAAAAACCATGTGGCTGAAATATAGGGGGCCCTATATCTTTGCCTTGCTAATATTTCACCGTCTGTGAACGTTGTGCTGCATGCACAGATTTTTGTAAGCCCAATAATGTAAGTAGAAATAAGCATGTAATAATGTTCAGTAGCTATTTTGGTTTTCGATATGAGATGTACAAGTTCAATTTCATCAGAGCAGATATTTTTTTTTAAGTCTGCCATTATGTGCGGGTGTCGTGAACAGCGAGCTGTCACAAGCGGTCCGATCACAAGCACGTAATATTACGTGGTCCGCACAGAGTGGAAACGTGCGTAGAAATAAGCGATCACAACCACGCAATATTACGTGGTCCGCACAGAGTGGAAACATGGGAAGCACGTAATCTTACTCTTACGTGGCTACACAGGCCAAGTCGTTAATCAGTGGCGCGCGACCTTACCAGCCCATTGACAGTCTATCTATATTCTCAATTTGCAGTCCGTATCATCAACGCAGTACATAGCATAACAATAAAACATTCACCTTTCACAATATTTCCACATTACAGGTCACGCGTTTTTATTAAGGAATGTTAGTTCTCTCCGTCAGGTCTATACACACCAGGCTTGGCCGTACCTCCAAGCACTGCGTATATTATCATTGCGAAACAGAAAATATGTACTTGCGTTGTATTTGCCTAAACGCACTGTGAAAAATCAAGGTCATTTGCCGATTTAAAGTTGCACTGAACATGGGAGAAAAATGCGGCTGTCTGGCTTGTTGTGAATCGCATTACATCTCAAGAAAAACGGCCGCTACTGACAATAAATAAGTAGGCCCAGTAGGCGCCCAGTTACCGCGAGCGAAGCCAAGAGGTTTATAATTCGTTTTGTAGGACTATTACATGTGACGCTAGTGTGTCGATAGGTTGATACCGCAGGCCAACTACAAGGAATTGGGGCAAGAATCTGAAACGGTATTCTANTGCGTTTATAGTACCGTATATTATCAGTATACTAAATCGTATATATAATACAGTGTATCAGAATAAAGCAACGGTAGATAATATTTAAAGGCATAGATGCGCACATGGCATCACTAAGTTAGTACATTAGTTACCAGTAACAAGACGTGACTTTAAGGTAAAAAAAGAATTCGGCGTGAGCAGATAAGAGCCGGTTATGTTGCAAGGGTTGCCAGAGAGAAATCCAGTAAATTAACATTTTATATTGATTTTTAATATAAAAGAAATTAAACATAATATCAAATTATATTCGCAATATTAAATATATGCTTAATCAGGTAAATCCTAGATCCATAATCTTTTATATTATATTCGATAGTTATCGGGAAATAACAGTTTCTTACCTATACTCATGTAAGTTAACCTTGAAATACTCGATGAAATGCGCTAACTATGTCAAATGATTGCTTCCTCAAAACAAATCATGGATTCGGCGAATTCAGTTGTAAGACGCTCGCGCTCATCTGGATCTAACAATACGTGTGTGTTTCTGGTAACGTTGACGCTCACTGTACCGCGGTTTCCGCAATTGTTCCCGCTCCGCAAGCTGTAGATGTTCTCTCGTACTGATAGCAGAGCACTTAAATCAACTGATTGATGAATAGTCAGAAGTTCCTGAACACAAATTGTAAAAACGTCTCACCATTTCTCCGCGGCCAGGAAAAGATTGTCTGCTTGGCAGGGTACCCGGATACTTGTCGATTTCGTCCACTGATCTCCCATATTCGTGAGTTGATTTCGTCTGACTAGCGAAAATTGCGGAACCGCCGGTCCGCCGAACAAGTGACGTCACGTCACAGAAACACAGACGTTTTGTAACTTTTGTTAGAGTCCAGATGGCGCGAGCGTCTCACAACTGAATTCGCCGCATCCATGATTTGTTTTGAGAAGCATCATTTGACACATAGTTGCATTTCAGTACATACAGTGTATAAGTAGGTTATTTTCGATAACTTATATATATATAAAGATGGTATAACTGCGTTAATATAATTTATAAATATAATTTTGACTAATTTATCGTTATATTAATTACAAAATGTCTATTCATATTTGCAACACCTAGTACTCAGTAGTACTACTACTAGTACTAGTGACTAGTGACTAGTACTACTACTACTAGTACTAGTACTTAGATACAATAATGTAACCCAAACCCAAGAGATGGGTTACAAAAAGCCTCCTATCCTTTTGTGCGGAGGAATTCGCGAGTGTAATCCGGGCCGGTTTCGCTGGTGCTTTTCAGAGACTGAACTTCCAAACTGGTTTATTCTCACAGCGAACCTTTTTTCCGCTATCTGGGAACCTTACTATGTACGCAATATCTGTATTAAACTAATATAAACCTGTTACAAAAATTCGAAAGATGACGAGGCGGCGAATATACTGAGGGCCGCCATTTCTGTTGACCTGTGACGTACCATTTCCCATGCGGGCATAGCGATCGGCAAACGCAGCGCCCTCCGATTTGGTCCGTGAAATCCTCTTCAACCGAAACGTACGTCACAGTCCAACAGAAATGGCGCTCAGTATATTGCGCGCTCGTCACTCGAATTTTGTACAGGTTTATATTAGTTAAATACAGAGTATTGCGATACATAGTAAGTTCCAATAGCGGAGAAAGGTTCGGGTTGAAATAAACCAGTTTGAAGTTCCTAGTCTCTGAAAACGCAGCCAGCAAACCGCTCGAGTGATTCACTCGGGCATTCCTCCGCACAAAAGGATAGGGAGGCTTTGTATACCTAATCTCTTGGTTTGGTTACATTATTGTTCTACTAGTAGGTAGTAGCTAGTATATAGTAGTAGCTAGTAAGTACTGTTTGAAAATGATCGACTTCACTTAACGTAGCTGCAGTACTCCCGTGTACACGTTGCCGCGGGCTATAGACCCACTGGGCAGCAAGAACAATCCGCACGAGCTACACACACACAGGCGCCATTGACGTATATATATATAACTACTAGTAGTAGCTCTTAAGAACTATAGCCCTCCGCTCCGCCGCAAGGGCTCTAGAACATACTATGGCAATTTCCAGGGAGTAAGCAAAGACAACTTTTTTGGCGTAAATAACTTCTTCGGTACGCCAAATAAAGCACATTCTCTGCCGCATAAATGTCTTAAGTGTACTATAAAACACTGAACAATTGAAACAGGCAAACTATCCATAAATGTTGTACTTGCTATATTAGCTCGTCGACGAAGATTGTTTATCAACTTTCAAGCGCGCCCTTTTTTTGTTGTGGGCAGCGCTAGCGTAGTTTCCGGCGGTTGTGAGCGGCACAATGTATTTCCAAGTGGAGGGGTGCGCAGGTTGCACGGGGTTGCAAACCGCCATTTTCATTGCGCAGGCGCTAGCGCGGTTTGCAAGCCGCGTGCAACGCTGCCCACCCCTCCACTTGGAATACATGTCTTTGCTTACTCCCTGGAAATTGCGCATAGTATGTTCTAAATAGCCTGCGCGAGCGGAGGGCTATAGTGTCTAGAGCTTATACTACTAGTAGCAGGAGTAAGATAACATAGAAGGTGTATGGCAGCTCCAATAACACGGCAATATTTTTGGCAGACATTTGCTTGCCTAATTTTACTCGACGTTATTGCTGCAACTCGATAAAAATTACATCTACATTAGGCAGTTGGAATCCACCTCAACACTCAAACTTTACTTATTTCGCAATACCTCTTCTTTTTATGGAGATATATGCTCTTTGAACGTCACACATGGTTTCATTACGTTTTGACTAGCTGGTGGGCTCAGCTTTCCTGACTTCCGAACTTGTGTTATGGCGTGTGAGGAATGGTCTCTTGTCTTGTTGACAAGATGCCCCTTGTGTGGCGGTGTCAAGCGGGGTGCGAGGGGGGGTTTGAAAACTACGAATGTCGCGAGATCTCATTGACTCATCTCCACTTCGCCACCCCCCCGATCGGCACCCCGCTTGAAGCAGCCATTCTTGTCAAACAGACACAGAGACGCATTTCTCACACTGCATAACAACAGTTCGAAGTCTAGGAAAGCTGAGCCACAGCCTAGTCAAATGCTATGAACCGATGTGTGACGTTTCAAAGGCTATATCTCCATAAAAAGAAGAGGTATGGAAACCTAAGTAAAGGTCTGAGTGTGAGGTGGATGTCCCAACGTCTAATTTTACGCTGTACATTTTATCGAGTTGGCACGTAATATATCATCGTAAAATTAGGCAAAGCAAATGTTGAATTGCCGTGTTTGCGGAGTGTCATACTCCTTCTATATTATCCAGGGATGAGATTCTTCCGGAGCATTTTTCCTGTTCCGCGGAAATCGCGGATTTTGACCAGTCCAGGGGTCGATTTTGTGAACAACGTTCTATAATCGTTGCGAAAATTGGGAAGGGGTAATCAATGTAAACAATTTAAATTATTACCCTCAACAGCACCTACTGTAGACTGTAGAGTGTAGATAGGTAGGGCTGACAGCAAAGTAATACAGTGTATCTGTTTTTGCGTACGCAGAAAAGGAGAATCCTGCGTTCACAGCTGCAGTAGAGGGGCAAACATTTGAGGTAGCCTGATCACGTAACGACATGCCTGGCGCCTGGGGCGCGGGTTACATGTGCCTGCGTGCATGTTCTGTGCATGACTTATGCACTGATTGTTTCAATTCGCATTGTGTTTTTTTCAATCAAGATCTGGTCGGGCAGCAGGCAGCTTATGTCTGAGTAAACAATGCAAGCGACGGGTGAGAACATAAACATATCATTATGTCTAGACATTTAATAACAAAACCTTGCCCTATTTTCAGCCCCCCCCCGCAATTTGCTTTATGGTTCGTTTGTTCTTTTGACAACTTGAACAAGGTGAAATTCAGAGTCTCTATAATTTGTTCCAGAATAGCTTAGAATGCACCAAATTGCACCATTCTTTTAAAAAATGACGCTACGGTCCTCGCATGTGCATCGCTCCTCTGTTTGCTAAATTAAAATTCGTCAGCTGAAAATTAAATTATCTTAATCTCATGCCCTCGATTATCTATCGCTGCTAGTAAGTAGTACTACTACTAGTAGTACTAGCGTTAGGTATACTTAGCAAGGAGTAAGATAATATACTATGGTGATAATAATCGTGATAATAATAGGTGATATATAGGTGGTTAATAAATAAGATGATATAATAATATATCCATATTATCTTAGCTCCGCTGATATCTAGTAGTACTTAGTCCTAGTAGTAGAAATATTATATCAATGGCGGCGTGTGTGCTGTAGCTCGTGCGGACTTGTTCTTGCTGCCATGTGTATAGCAACCCAGCCATTACGAATGCTCTGGACGCAACCTTACCTCCAGCCAGTCAGAGGGAACTATGTATTTCCGGCACGTGAGGGGTGGGCGGGTTTGTGGACAAAAACATTGTTGTTGTCAAGTAAGGCTTATTGCCTACCACAGACGTTTTATAGGCGGTATAAGCGTGCTTAAGTTGGTCCCGCGCATCCTAATGGCTCGTTATATAGCCCAGCGGCAGTTAATGTAAGCGGGCTATAGTACTAGAGCTACTTTTAACGTAAACAACACTCCTTAACACAATTTTAATTTGTATCTTGATTGTGTGGAGGTCCTCATTGGAAAAGTAATGTTATTGGATCGGTTGGTGGCGATGGATCAAAATCTACCGCAACACGAGCTGGACGACGACAGCACCGAGATGGAGTCAAACGAGTACTACAGGTGCATGGCGTGCTGGGAGTGTTTCTTTACGATCACCGCCTTCTACACGCACGCGAGGCAGGTGCACTGCAAAGTTCTCGTCTCTCAGGGGCACGACTCGGAGAACGTCTGCGATACGATGGACGATGCCGCCGCGCACTCGATGCACGAGGGAGTCTCTAGCGACGCCACGGTCATCGTCGGTGTCGACGCCACCTGCGATTTCGATCCGAGCGGATCTATGATTCTCCCCGACGGCATTCACGCGATACACGCCGCCGCTGAGTCGTACGCCCCCGCGGAGTCGGCCACGCCGACGAAGAAGTGCAAGATCGCAAAGAAAGGTCGGCCTTCCCGTGCGGCCGCGCCGCCGGCGTTGGATCCCGCAGGATTCCTCGAGCGCGTGCGCGCGATCAAGATGGAGGACACGGGTGGCGAGCCGTCGCCCGACGGACTCGGTCTACTCGCGGCGCAGTGCTTTGCCACACCGCAAGAGGGCGCTACCAATGACGACGAGGTCGAGTGCGGCGCGGCTGTGACGATCCCTCACGACCCCTCGCTTCCTGACGACCTCGAGGCGTACTGCGACCCTCCGCCCGCTCCCGACGACGACGCGGCAGGCGACGAGGGTGAGGCGGGGGCGCAGCTGCTGCTGCCAGCGCTCCCTGGTGGGGTGGACGTGTCGGCGGCATACCGCTGCAGCATCTGCGGGGTGACGTGCACGCAGGCGCGCGTCATGAAGCACCACATGCGCGTGCACGCGGCGCAGTGGACCAACGCCGCGCGCCGCTGCCACCTCTGCAACATTTGCCAGCGCTCGTTCCGCCGCTATGACACGCTCATCGTGCACATGCGCACGCACACGGGCGAACGCCCCTACAAGTGCAACATCTGCCTCAACTCGTTCTCGCAGGCGGGCGCGCTCAACAGACACCTGCGCATCCACACGGGCACGCGACCCTACCAGTGCGACCTGTGCGGCGAGGCGTGCTCGGACTCGGTCGACTTCAAGTCGCACGTGTGCGTTTGCTCGGGGGAGCGGCCGTACAAGTGCCGGTTGTGCGCGGCCGCGTTCAAGTCTCGCCCGTACCTTGTGAAACACGAGGAGACTCACCAGCTGAAGAACGAGGCGGTAGTCGCGGCGAGTCTCATGCTAGAGTGGGAGGACGTTGCCTAGCGACACGCGGCGNCCATATTTGAAAAAACGAAGTTTATTTTAAATACTTCCAACCCAAGACTAACTCTGTGCACGGGCAGGTTTTTCTTTTTATAATAGATACTTAATAGCATATATTTTCCTATCTAAACTACCAAATTCTAGAACCCATACCCATCAAAATAGGCGATTTCAGTATTTGTGGGTCAAATCAGAAATTTTTTTCCGGAGGTTGCATGCCCCCGGACCCCCCTAGCAGGGCTTCGTGCCTTCGCCGCTTGCCCTACCGTCCGTGCCGGAAAAACAGTTACCTGCTATTCATTGTCAAATTACCTGCTTTGTCAAAAGTTAACAAGAACCCTGTATACTACTAGTAGCAGGAGTAAGATAATATAGAAGGTGTATGGCACTCCAAAACACGGCAAATTCAACATTTGCTTGCCTAATTTTACCGACGATATATTACGTGCAACTCGATAAAAATTACATCTAAATTAGCGTTGGACATCCACCTCACACTCAAACTTTACTTAGTTTCCATACCTCTTCTTTTTATGGAGATATAGCTTTGAACGTCACACATGGTTCATAGCGTTTGACTAGCTGGTGGCTCAGCTTTCCTAGACTTCTGAACTGTTGTTATGCAGTGTGAGGAATGGTCTCTTGTCTGTTGACAAGAATGCCCCTTGTTGGCGGTGTCAAGCGGGGTGCGAGGGGGGTTTGAAACTACGAATGTCGCGAGATCTCATTGACTCATTCCACTTCGCCACCCCCCATCGCACCCCGCTTGACACAGCCATTCTTGTCAACAGACAAAAGACCATTTCTCACACTGCATAACAACAGTTCGGAAGTCTAGGAAAGCTGAGCCACCAGCCTAGTCAAACGCTATGACGCTGTACCATGTGTGACGTTCAAAGCTATATCTCCATAAAAAGAAGAGGTATGGAAACTAAGTAAAGTTTGAGTGTGAGGTGGATGTCCAACGCTAATTTAGATGTAATTTTTATCGAGTTGCACGTAATATATCATCGGTAAAATTAGGCAAGCAAATGTTGAATTTGCCGTGTTTTGGAGTGTCATACTCCTTTTATATTATCTTACTCCTGCTAGTAGTAGTACTACTACTAGTAGTACTAGTAGTAGTATACTAGCAGGAGTAAGATAATATACTATAGGTGATAATAATAGGTGATAATATAGGTGGTTAATAATAAGATGATATAATATATATCCTATATTATCTTACTCCTGATACTAGTAGTACTAGTACTAGTAGTAGTATATATATATAGTCAATGGCGCCGTGTGTGCTGTAGCTCGTGCAGACTTGTTCTTGCTGCCAGTGTATAGAACCAGCCATTACGAATGCTCGGGACCAACTTACTCCAGCCAGTCAGCGGGAACTATGTATTTCCGCACGTGGAGGGGTGGGCGGGTTGTGGACAAAAACATTGTTGTTGTCAAGTAAAGCATTAATTGCCTACCACAGACGTTTTATAGGCGGGTATAAGCGTTCTTAAGTTGGTCCCGCGCATCCCTAATGGCTCGTTCTAGTAGCCAGCGAGTTAATGTAAGCGGGTACTAGTTACTTAGAGTTACTTTTCCGTATATAAACGCTGCTTACACAACTTTATTAATTCTGTGCTTATCTTGATTGAATGTGGAGTCTCATTGGAAAAGTAATGTTCATATCGAACGGTTTGGTGGCGTGGTCGAATTACCGCACACGAGCTGTACAGACAGCACGAGATGGAGTCACAGTACTACAGTGTGGCATGGCGTGTGGGAGGTGTTTACTTTACGCATCCCCGTTTCTACACGCACGCGAGGCAGGCTGACACTGTCAAGGTTTGGTCTATCGGGGCCGACTCGGAGAACGTATATATACGAGGACGATGCGCCGCGCTTCGATGCACGAGAGTCTCTAGCGACGCCACGGTCATCGTCGCGGTGTCGACGCACCTCGATTCGTCCCGACGCGGATCTATGATTCTCCCCGACGGCTTCACGCATACACGGCTGCGCTGAGTGTACGCCCGCGCGAGTCGCCAGGCCGCGAAGAAAGTGCAAGATCGCAAGAAGGTGTCGCCTTCTCGTGCGGCCGCGCCGCGGGTTTGGATCCCATGGTTACCTCGAGGCGTGCGCATCGCGTCAGATGGAGCACGGGGTGGCGAGCGTCGCCGACGGACTCGGGTCTACTTGCGGCGCAGTGTTTTGCCACACGCAAGAGGGCCGCACCAATGACGACGGCATGGTCGAGTGCGCGCGGCTGCGATCCCTAACGACCTCGTTTCGTGCGACTCGAGGCGTTACTGCGACACAGCCGCTCCCGACGACGAGCGGCAGGGCGCCGGCGCGGCGCCGACGAGCGTGAGCGGGGGCGCGCTGCTGCTGCCAGCGCCCCTGGTGGGTGACCGTCGCGGCGGATCGTACGCTGCGGCATCTGCGGGTTGACGTCGGCGAAGGCGCGTCGTAATGAAGCACACATCGCGCCCGTAGCACGCGGCGCAGATGCACCTGACGCCGGCGCCGCTGCACCTCTGCAACATTTGAGCGCTCGTGCTCGCGCTCTGACGACGATATCTTGCAGAGGCGCAGCACACGGGCGAACGCCCTACAGTGCAATTCTGCCTTCAATCTCGTTTCAACAGAAGCAGCCGCGCGCTCACGAACGGCTGCGCATAACCGGGCACGCGAGCATCCTACCATTGCGATATGTCGGCGAGGCGGTGCTCGGATCGCTCGACTTCAAGTCGCCACGGTTGTGCTTTCGCTCGGACGGGCGGCGCTACAGTGCCGTTGTGCCCGACCAGGCCGTTAGTTGCCCGCGTCCTTGTGAACACGGAGAGCTCACAGCCGGACGACGCGGTGTCGCAGGCGAGTTTCATGCTAGACTGTGGCTCGGGACGATTTGACTGCGTACACGCGGGCACGCTTCTTTTGCGTAACGCCGCGCGACATTCAGGTCTGCTTGACTTCGGTCTGTTTAGCGATTTTGGTTCTTCGCTCTTGTTAGCGATTATTGTTCCCCCCCCCCCCCCCCATTGCTCGGTCATTGTTTGGCAATCACTTGGTCGTTGTTTCATCATTGTTGCAATCGAGACGGTATCGTTATTATTAAGCGATTTATAGTTCATGCAATTTATTTTGATATGCTACTACATTATGCTTGCTAGATTATTAACTGGATGGATGTATTATGTATTACAGTAGTCGTTTCCGAAAAATTCGGTGTTATAGATATCGTATAGTGTTATATATGGTCACTATTTCAAAACATTGTAACAGTGAATGAATTTTTGTGACCATAATAAGGCTGAGAGGGTCTATGTCCCCAGGGTACTGCCGGAACGTACCCTAGTACTATCTAATATGCCGGACCGTACCTCGCCTACTCCACTAACAAGTCTAGGGAGTCGCCTACGCCTACTCTCTAACCCTAACCCTAACCATATCAAATAGTTACCAGGGTACGTTCCGATATACCGGACCGTACCCAGGGTACGTTCCATCAGTACCCTGGGGTACATAGACCCTATGAGCCATAATAGGTTTGGTCACCTTCATGCCATATTTTTACTTATGCGCAGATCACTGTTATTGCAAGCCTGATACATTTGACTTTGTGCGACCTTCAATTCTGGTTATTTTGATAACTGCCTGCAGTACCACGAGTCTACATGTAAGTGAAATAAATTTGCACCATATTAACGCTATAGTAACTGTAATCATATGGTTTCTCCCAGTGTTGGAATGACTAAAATTGAACTACCGGGTACTTTCATAAATCTTTGGGATGAAGGTTAACTACTGCAGTAACGTTCAGTGGCAAAGGTATATCAGAAGGCCTTAATCCCAGATGTTATTCAGCACAGACTTCCCAAATTCCTAGATTCAAAGATATTTCGTGAACAGGTAACAAGTGTGATGAAACAGTTGTGACTTACATGATTCAAGTAAGCTGCATGTATTCGATTAAAGCAGGTATACAGATTGTCGATAATTACAATTTCATGCTTTTATTTTGTTGACTATATGGCATAACTATTATGTCACTTAAACAGGTAATTACTACATACAAGGACAGCAGCCAGAGTAAGATAAGTATTACTACATTATAGTTCGCTCATCCCGCGTATTTAACTGTATAGTAGGAACTTTATTGCAAGAAACAAAATTACACGAAACTGCGCGAAAACTATTTCAACTTTATTTATTCCACATATTTACAACAGTGACACACCAGTAGTTCAGAGGTTTTTACAACTCGTATTTACAAAAAAAAACTTAAAGATCAGCAGGCTGTGTAATCTGTTGTTTCATCTACTAAATTCGACTCTGAACTGTACGATATCGGATCACTTGTTTCATTATCACCCAATACCTCCACTGTGGGCTAGAATTATTCCTTCTTCATGTATCATTGGAAATGAACGCTGACACTTCTTCTTTGTGGAAAGTACAAGGCTTTATATAATAGCATCTCAAGCATATACACGCGTATGCAATAAAACTGCACCTGCAATTTGCACAATTAATTGCTCATGTAACATCAAAAACAAGGCCAACTATGGTCACCTAGGAACTACGTGTATGCACGTAGATGTATTTATGCAGTAACCTGTACAACAGACTCACAAATCGACAATCACACTCAACCTGTACGCACCACAATAATAAGTGTAGTGTTTCAAGATACTGCCTGACTGGGTTAGCATATTCGACAAATTGGCAGTAACCCGTACAAAAAATATCCAAATGTAAACACAAATTAATTCCAGATTATTAAATTTACATTGTCAAAATCCTATTATCATAGTAACAAACCCATAACATTGATAAATTCTCATTTTGAACACATTTTGCACGGCCCGACTTACTAATCTCTAATACTGTTTTGCAATGTATCGTACATCAGTTATGCAATAGACTAACAGTAACAATTATTGTTACTGTTAGTCTATGGTTACAACTTACACTTACAGTGTAGGACCACTAACTGTAAAAAAAAAACTAGTTGAGCGTGAATATCAAAGCATTACGTAACTATGTTCATTTGAAAGTTATACTCGTATACTTTTCGAATTTTATCCGTAACCGTTACGCACTTCTAGTGGCATTTTAAAACAAAGACGGGGCAAGAAAAACCTAAATGGGAACCGACATGAGTCGACCCAGCACATTCTTCGTGCATCAGGTCACCACACACCTTGTTTAAAATCCACGCACCGACATGTATAATCAACATGATCAAAGGTAGTACACCGTAAATCGTCCAGTAAAAAAACTTTACAAAAAATATTGGCACTACATGGCTGGGCAATATTATGACGTGATATGTGATGAGCCGGCCTGTCAATGTATTTTTTGACATTTAGATTTTGCCAATCAGATCATTCATTACTGACACTCAGTAACAGTTACAGCTCTCCATTTCTTTTTCAACTTTCGCCTAGTCCTCACATAATATCAGGAGTGTATAATATATATATATCTGAAGTAGATAATAGGAAATTCCCTATTATCTGCTTCTGATATAATATATATATAATATATTGTGTGTCTATATATTATACACTCCTGATAATATATTATATAGCATGTTTTCGTTTTGATTTTTGGCACTTTAGGCAACCATTCACATGCAGCTCAACTGCAACTAACGTAACGTATTTACAAACCAGGATTTCACACATTCATCCTGCCCCTGGATCTGCTCCGCTATATGTACACCGATCCCCACACAACGCCCCACTTCTCAACGACACAACACTGTACAGGATCGGAATAGCACTAATATATGTACAAATCACATTGCTGTTTCTGAACACTAAAATTATCATGTTGAGCTCCACAGCTATTGGTCCAACAGCACATTCTCGTGACGTCACCTCACATCCTTGCCACGAGCACAAGGAATTACGCATACGACACAATGCTTGTGTTAGCTATAAACGCTGAAACACACCCACCACAACCCATACCGTGCTAGTTTCTCACTGCTAATAAATACACCGCGGTATACAAACGTTAGAAACATAACGTTTTTTCCGTCTGTCTTTCTCTCTCTTTCAAGCTGCCATCGCTGCATCTGTAGCGAGTTTCACCGCACAATTTTTGCGTGCCACCTCGATGCGGTAATTAAATATACAGCGCTGTTCCATTTCTCGTTTCTTCTTAGACCGCTCTGTACAGCTTCATTGTTCACTCAGCTTTCATCTTAAGACTTTGCTGTTCATTCAGCTTTCATGTTAAGACTTTGCTGTTCATTCAGCTTTCATCTTAAGACTTTGCTGTTCATTCAGCTTTCATCTTAAGACTTTGCTGTTCATTCAGCTTTCATCTTAAGACTTTGCTGTTCATTCAGCTTTCATCTTACTTCGCTGTTTGTTCGCCCTTCATCCTAGACTTTTCTGTTCATTCAGCTTTCATCTTACTTCGCTATGTGTTCGCCTTTCATCTCGGACCCCGTGTATGTTCACCAGGCGTACACCCCGCCCGCGCGTTCTCGCGACTACGCGTTCTCGCGCACGGGTATGGTCGTCGGCCGGTAGATGGCGTCGGTGCCCGTCATGTCTCTGGCCGCTCCCTCCTCCTCCTCCTGCTCGTTGAAAACCTTGTCCTCCTCGTAGATGCAGCCGAGGCCAAAGGTCGGTTGCTGCGCCGACGACCACTCCTCGCACCTGTCCAGCGCGGCGGCGTCGGTGAGGCTGCCGTCGATTGGTTTCGTCGGCGACGACAGAAGTACGACCTAGGAGAAATGGAAGAGCGCGTCGTTACTCGTATTGTACGGTAGCCATCAACGTTTCGTTAGAAACTCGAGAAACAAAAACTGTCCGAATGCACGAATTTATTGGGTCGTTTTTTTACCGCGTGTATGGTTCTTTTCACTCGCTAAACTTTGCTAAAACTTGCTAAAAAAGAAACGTCCAGTAACCGATCATTTCGTGATAAAATAATGCGCACGCCACCTCGTGTAAGTGCACCTCATACGTCTGCCAATGTCACCACCGGAAACCGTGAATGCATATATGCGTGCTAGCTCCAAGAAACACTCGGGTATTTCACCACGTCGTATAGACGTTTACCCTCACGCGGTGAGACTAATTACATGCCACCGATTAAAATCTGACCCGAAAATCTCGATTACGAAGTCCAAATGAAATATCCTGCTCTTAAGATCTAATCAAAGGGGGGTGCGTTATGTGCGTACCTGTGTAAAATCTAATCAAAGGTGGGGTGCAATCTAATCAAAGGTGGGGTGCGTTATGTGCGTACCTGTGTAAAATCTAATCAAAGGTGGGGTGCATACCTGTGTAAAATCTAATCAAAGGTGGTGCACGGACCTGTGTAAAATCTAATCAAAGGTAGCCTGCGCACCTGTGTAAAATCTCATCAAAGGTGGCGTACGTACCTGTGAGGATGGTGACGTGATGAGTGCAGCTGACCGTACGAAGGCAAAGTGGGTGTTTGCTCGGTCGAGCCCGTTGCAATATTTGAGCAGGTAGAGGGGCAGGCCATAATTCAACAGCGACAGCACCAGCAGACCCACGTTCACCTGCCGTAAACAAGAAAGGCGAGGCACGAATGAACGACGACGCGATCAGATCTTTCTAAGCAAGTTCTGGAAAACGCAATCACGAGTAAATAACCGCACACACACAAACACCACGCAGAGGCTATATTCGTCCCGGTACCCCCTCCCCCCTCCCCCCACACACACACCCGGATATTGCTCTAGCTGTTATCTGAAGGCTAATGGCCTAGGGGTCATCGCGCGGTGTTACACGCGGCATCGCGTCGTCATAGACCCGAGGGGTCATCGCGCGGTGTTACGCGTGGCATCGCGTCGTCATAAACCCGAGGGGTCATCGCGCGGTGTTACACTCGGCATCGCGTCGTCATAAACCCGAGGGGTCATCGCGCGGCGTTACACTCGGCATCGCGTCGTCATAGACCCGAGGGGTCATCGCGCGGCGTTACACGCGGCATCGCGTCGTCATAAACCCGAGGGGTCATCGCGCGGCGTTACGCGCGGCATCGCGTCGTCATAGACCCGAGGGGTCATCGCGCGGCGTTACGCACGGCATCGCGTCGTCATAGACCCGAGGGGTCATCGCGCGGCGTTACACGCGGCATCGCGTCGTCATAAACCCGAGGGGTCATCG